ACCCAGATGGTTATAAGGCTCCAGGGCACCTGCATAACTTACATCAGAGTTTAACAGAAAAGTAGTGAGTAATAATTATATATTTACATTTCAGGTCCTCCTCCATTCAAAGCAAAACACAGCTGTTATATTTTCACTCTGGCCATTACCTTGTGATATCCCACTCAGCCAGTATTTCCACTCATTGCCAATTTGTAGTAATGTTTACGCATTTCTCTTCTTTTTAGCCCTTGTGTAAAGCCACATCTAAATTAACACACATCCTATAGCCCAAATGAGAAATCAGCCTACCAGGGGATAGTTCTGTTATGTATAATGTAATAGCATAATAATTTTTTAAGGTATTTTTATGCCACTCAGACTTACTGATGAGGTGTTTTTTGTCTTATCTTCAAACCTGCTTTCTGCCTGCCTTCCTCTTTGTAGTGTGCGTCATCTGCACCATCTGGGATGACCTTTCTGCAATGACTGAGAGAACAGCACTAAAGTGTCTGGATTCTCTGATTTAAAATTGACAATGTTACTTTCCTTTTCAGAGTTGTTAAATGTTTTTCTTTCAATCATTTTGTGAATTGTAGACACTTAACTTATCACCATTATCTCATCAACCTAATATATGTAGACTTTGGTGGATATAAACTTGCAAAGAAGTTTTTTTATAACTCCTCATTTAGAGAAGGACTTTTAAGAAGTTAAGTAAACACATTGCTGATTGTGAAATAGTCTCCCCCAAATGCTGTTTCATCTATCCATATCCTTAATTAAACACGACAGACTCTATATTTAACTTTAAGAATAACTTTTTGGAGTCTAAACTTTATTATATTCAGTGATACTATTTATAATAGTCACACAATTTAAAGACTAATATGCCCAAGCATTTATACAAATTACTAGGAATCTTGGAGGGGGGGGAGAAGAAAGAAAAACTTGTCTCTAGAGTTTAAAAACCCCCATACATTTAGTTTAGGTGGGAAGTGATAGAGGAAATGTTCTGTGATGACATGTAAAACACCTGGTATTCTCTAGAGACACTGAAAAGTCATCAGATAATGTGAGTTATAAACTGGACAGAACCCAAAAACTTGATGCAACAATATATAGAAATATTTAGTTAATTCCAGGTAAATTGCATTTAATTAGACCACTTCTCAGTGTCCAGTAAATTTTGAAGGTGGTTTTTGTACACAAAACATTACAGAAATATGATACTCTTAGGAGTTCTTGTTAACTGCATTGTATTACACTGATAAATGATGTTTTTTGTTGAGATTAAATCAGTCTGCTTGGGAGTGTCTCATCGTAGGTAGAAAATAAAGGAATTGGATGGAGGATTTGTACATATAATTATATTTAAATATACTAGAATATGTGCATATATCACTTCTTGTCTAAATCTGTTCTACTGAATAGACTTAACCTTGGATGAGTCTGAGATCTGTACTGTGCAGTTATCTGCCAGTTACTATTTAATAAATAAAGTACCTGAGGGAGTTTTATTTAGGACATTTTTAAATCCCTTTGCTAGAATGACAAGAACTTTTCTCTCAGTATTTCAGATATACTTTTTTCCTCCCATTCAAATGTTCCAGTACCACAAGATGAACAGGAAAACAATAGAAATTAATCCAGAAAGTACAGAATTAAAAGTGACTAAGGACAAGTTTAACGTTATAGAATATCAATCTATTTTGTTTGGAGCAGGCTTGTCATAGGTGTGGAGCACAATGACTCACAGTGTAACACATGGAGTTAATGGGATAATGGCATCCCATGAACTCCAAGATCTTTTCAGAACTTTCCTACGTCTAACTACTTCTCATTGTTAATGAATGACAATGCAGAAGAAAATAGGAGATACATTTGTAACAGTGTAAACCTTGCACCCCTCAATTGTCAGTCAGTGATAGAGCACCTCTCCTATGAGGAAAGACTGGGATTGTTCAGCCTGGAAAAGAGAAGGCATAGAGGTGACCTAATTGAGGCCTTCCAGTACCTGAGGGTGGCCTACAAGAAAGTGGAGAGATACTATTTAAAAGGGCTTGTAGTGACACAACAAGGGGGAATGGCTTCAAACTGAGAGCAGGTTTAGATTAGATATTAGGAATCAATTCTTTACTGTGAGGGTGGTGAGGGCCTGGAACAGGCTGCCCAGAGAAGTTGTGGATGATCCATCCCTGAAAGTGTTCAAGGCCAGGTTGGATGGAACTTTGAGCAACATAGTCTAGTGCAATGTGTCCCCATCCGAGGCAATGGTGTTAGAACTAGATGATCTTTAAGGTCCCTTCCAACCCTAACCATTCTCTGATTCCATGACATTATGATTTTAAATAAATTATAGTTATAAAATTGAAAGCAGTTCCAATCTTTAGGGAACAGTTGTGACAGCTCACATGCACATGCATGCCAGAAGTGCAAAAATCAGTAGTGTGGTAGGCTCAAGACTTCTTTTAGGAAGAAATTCTTTACAGAGGGGGTAATCAGGCATTGGAATGGGCTGCCCAGAGACGTGGTGGACTCTCCATCCCTGGAGGTTTTTAAGATGAGACTGGATGTGGTACTTAGTGCCATGGTCTAGTAACCACGGTGGTAGTGGATCAAGAGTTGGGCTTGATGATCTTTTCCAACCTGGCTGATTCTATGATTCTATGATCAAATTGAGAAGATAAATTTCAGCAAGCAATACATTTAGTGCCAGATAGATTACAATGTTTTAAAATATTAGCCATTCTTATTTAATTTCCATTCATCGTGCTGAAAATAAGGTTTTTAAAAATAGAAGCCTTGCAGGATGGACTTGCCGTACAAGACAGTGATTGCTTTTTACTTCATAGAAAAAAATTATTCTTGGAAAGATGTGTGTATAAAATAGTATATTTAAAATAATTCTTATATATAAACATACTAGAATATGTATATATTAGTACATGTACAAAATATATTTGAAGTTTAAATAGGTTACTGAAATCAGTACCAACTTTATGATCAACTTTATTTCAATTGGGTATGACACAGGATATGACAGTTTGCATATTTTTTGTTTCTTTGATATTTAGCTGCTATTAGGAACTAAATGTTATCTAGCTTTTTTCTTTCTTTTGTATTGACCAAATTGCTACACAAGAAATACTTTAGAAAATTCTCAGCTGTCTTCGAGCAAAGAAATTCTGGAAAGAGACTGTTTCATTCATAAATAGGAATAAATTCTAATTTTATTAGATGGATATAGGTGGGAAAAAATAGACCAGCTGCCAACACGAAAGTTCCTCTCCAGATCTGAAACAGAAGCAGTAATTCAAGTTGATTACGGATTAGAAGTGTTTCAAGTTAAAATTATGCTACAAATTCAACCATTTAAACACAAAGTGTATTAGATTTAGAACAAAAATTATGTTAGCAAAGAGAGTAGTGTTAAGTCATTAATTATTCTCTGGGCTTGTGACAAAATTAGAACGTGGAATAGCAAGATGTTAGAAGGAAACACAGGTGAAAGGGAATACAACAATGCCTGTACTGATGATACAGCTCCACATGAATTCTTTGATGGTACCAATGCTGTTAGGGATCAAAGCCTTTAGTTTTTTACTGGCTGCTTGTTCTTGCCCTTCTAAAAGATCTTCCACTCTTCTAGCAGAAGTTGTTTATGCAGGCACATACTGAACTAGATCAGGAAACTGTCAAAGCTGTTAAAATCTGATGATGTGGGATTTTTGTGATTTTGTGGTTGATTCAGGTGGTTTGTTTTTTCGTGGTTTGTTTAGGGTTTTTTACATTTGGCTGGTTCAGTTCCCCAATCCAGTTCAGGTGTCAGACAGAAATAGATTGGCCAGCTGATGTAGGGGCAGTATCTCACAGGGAGATAAGAAGAACAAAGACATTGCTAAGACCAAACCCAAAGGTAGAAAAATTAACTGGAGACTCCATCCTTAACAAAGATATTCTTTCTTAATAGCACATAACATTTTTTCCTACAATGTACCTCCTTTCATTTAGAGAGTAGTTGTAGCTTTGCTTCTGCATCTCTACTAGAGATGAAGATTTTTAACTCAGTAGAAATAAAATAATCTAATAGAAATTATAAGAGTTATGGATGAGTATGTATGTAAACAGAAAGATCTACTTTTCCTAATCCAAGGAGAAAATGTCTCAGAAGCTCATGAATTTTGCAGATTTTTAGTTTTGTCTTCAGTATTACATAGAGAACAAACCTTTAATCACACAAAGAAAATGTTTCTTTTTGTTTCATTTCTGTACAGTAAGGTTTTGCTGAATTTCCTCAGTCATTTAAGTGGCTGAACACTGCAATATTTTTAAATTAAGATAGGCAATAATCTATTCATGGTAGTAAAAAATGTGTTTTGACAAAATAAGATCTTGAAGGATCTTTCCTCAATTACATAATTGAAATACAACTACTAGATTCTTTGAAAAGTTACACAGTTATTTAGACTACAGTCCTACTCCTTTTAGCATACTACGTTCCTCTGACAGTATAAAAAAATCTATTATTCTCTATCTTTTTAAACACAGAAAAGGCCTTGAAATTACACTCAATTATCTACCCTGAACTTTTAAACCATATATTTAACTAGTTAATGCAACTCATGACATCATTGAGAATACATCTTCAGGGGAAATTTTTATGAGCTTCAGACTAAGGACTGTCATAAACCTGTTTTTTTTCTCCTTAGATAGAGTGTGACAATATGACTCTGGCATCTAAAATTGTCTGTTTTTCTTGCATTTAAGGTGCTTTTGGTAAGATAACATAAATCACAGTAAGCAAATTCTATTTCATGTAAGTGACTAAAATTCTACAGCAATCCACTGCAATAGAGAAAGTCTCCAAATACAGAATTAATAAAGAACACAAGATATGAGAAGTAATGTTTATGCTTATGCATCATTCTTCAACTACTAATAAAGAAGATTCTGACATAGTGAAAAAGGAAGCATTTTTCCTGTCTTCTTTATTCTATACTTTTGTCTTTCTCTCATAGCTGTTTTTTTCCACCTAACACATAGCCAAGCAAATTGAATTCCCTAAAGAATGAGCTGGTGAACCCTGAAGTGAGATCTGCTAATATTATGGCTAACAGAAGAAAAGAGAAATAATTCTAGACTAAATGTAAGTATGCTATTTTTCTCATCAACAATATTTTTACATTAAGATTATTTGACTGTTACTAATTAAAATAGTAGTCTTCATCAGAATGTTCTGCTGCTGGGTAAAATTTCCTCATTTCACTACTTTGAGTTCTTGGAGTTCAAAGCAGTAGAATGTCAGCTTTTCATCTTATGAAGCTAGAATTGTTCCTTTCTTACTTTTTTTCTTCTAAAATGCCTCAGAAAAATGCATGTATGTGTCAGTGTCCCAGTGCCACTATAAGCCCAGAGCAAGGAGAAGGATTGCAGGTGAAAAGGGGAGCGCCTGAAGAGCAGCACAAAGGAATTCCATCTTCTTTAGCCAGAAAGTCAGTTTCACCTAGGGCCCAAATTAAATGTCTCTATATCCATACAGATAGCATGGCAATTAATAAGAGAAGCTGGGGACATGCATACACCCGCAGGGCTACAATCTTATTGGCATCATGGAAACATGGTGGGATGGCTTCTATGATTGGAGTGTTGGAATGGAAGAATACAGATTTTTCGGGAAGGACAGGCAGAGATGAGGAGGGGATGTTCCCTCTATGTCAAGGACCAACTGGAGTGCATGCAACTTTGTTGATAGATGAGGAGCCAACCAAGAGTTTATGGGTTAGGATAAAAGGGAGGGCAGGGTCATGTGACACTATAGTGGGGGTCTGCTGCAGATTGCCTGACCAGGAAGACACAGTCAATGGGGCCCTCTATAGACAGATAGGAGTCGCCTCAGGTTCATAAACTCTTGTCCTTCGACCACCCTGATATCTGCTGGAGGGACCCTACAGAGTAAGAAATGTCTCTCTATTTATCAAAACATGTGTGGTTTTTCCATTCCTGTTTTTGTCCTCAACTCTCACCCGTCTCATCAAGGAAGGGCAGTGACTGAGCAGCTGAGAGTGAGTTTGGTTGCTAGCCAAGACTAAACCATCACAGAGTAGAAAACATTTTACAAAGTAAATCTGACATGATCACAAAAAAGAAAAAAAAGGAAACAAACAAACAAAAACAAAAAAAAAAAAACCCAAAAAACACAAACAAAACAAACCAACCAACCAACCAACCAAAAAAAACAACAAAAAACCAAACCAAACAAACCAACCAACCAAAAAAAACCAAAAACAACAACAACAACCAAAAAAAAAAAAAAAAAAAAAAAAAAAAAAAAAAAAAAAAAAAAAAAAAAAAAAAAAAAAAAAAAGAAGCAAGAAAAGAGGATTTTAAAAGTATCTCCAGAAATACCTGATGCAGTTAAAATTCTTTTGTGGTGTGGACATAAAATGATGATTGCAAAAAGCTATTGTAAGACAAATCTATAGAATGTTTATACACCATTTTATTTTCTATTGGACACTCATGCAAGGCAAGATTTTGTCATTTCGCTTTGCTTTCAAGTTCACCAGAAGTTTAGAAATTACTTAAGACACAGTAAAAGCTTAGCCAAGAAATTAAGAAAATAACTCTTTCATAGAAACTAACTAGTGGTTCAAGAGAACTTATAAAGAAACATCAATCGTGAAAAAGGGAATCACATATATACCATAAATTGTCTTGTCTTTCACTGTCAGGATGCAGATATCCCTCAAAAGGAACAAAAGAATTCTTCTGTCTTGAGATTGTGTGAATCACAATATTGAGCAAAAAAACACCCTATGAAAGACATGCCAAGGACTGAAGACCATCACCTGTCCCCACCCGCAAAGAGAAAAATATGTCAAATAATGAAATGCTTTGCTCAAACTCTTCGGTATTAATTTAGGACAGAAACATCACTGACCAATACCTGGAGATTATTGGTAAATTTAGAGAGAGATTTCTAATCATGAACATCAAGGTTAAAATTGAAGCGACATCATGAGTAAGAGATGACGTTTCATTCCACCACCTCATCAGGTAAGGAAGAGATACCCAGAGAGAAAGAGACAGGAATTCACTGGGCAACCAGTTACTATGTCCAGTGTTGTGCCAATGCTTTCCTCACCTGAGTTTGAAGTAGCTCTCTTCCCAAAAAATGTATCAGCAGAGATTTGCTGAGTGAAGGCAATTCTCGTTTCTACTTCTGCCATGCCCTTTCATATGATAGTGCAAGGATAGAGTGAAAGGTTCATGTATGTTCAAATCTCCCCACATGTGGAATTCTTAGTCTTTCAGATGTAGACAAGAAGATGGAGAACAAAACCACAGCTGGGTACTTGAAAGTGTCCTTTACATATGAAAGTTAGCATGATCCATTTTTATTTAAACTAATTTCAGAATTATTCTCTTGTGTTTCAAGTGATCAATGCCATTTGAAACATAATTCTATTTAAAATTAAAATATTGATGGTATCCTATTATATCAGTGTCAGTCAATTATTCCTTCATATTACCTCAAGAATAATGCATAACATAATTTATTCTTGTCTGAATAATTAAAGAGGACCAGAAATTCAGTAATATTATTCATTTTGTAAGAGAAAAAACTGTATTGTAATTATTAAATATGAGCAATATGATCCATTCTATATGAAACAGAATGTTTAAACCTGGAAAATAATACTTTAGTCAATTAGAAAGTCACTCAGATAATGATTTTTCTCAAAATACGTGCTATGACTTATTAAGGGCACGAACCAGAATTTGTTGTAGTCAGAGAAATAAATACAACTGGTATAGAAAAGACCTCTGCTTCTATCCCAGAGATCAAGATACCATAAGAAATAGCTATAAAATGTACAGTTGTTTCATTAATTTAGTTTATTTCTTGCTAGAAGAAAGGGGTTACTGTGGCCAATCTCATAATATTAAACCTCAAGATATTTTGGACCTGTGTTCTTTGTTAGTTTTAATGTGTCTTCCCTTGTTGTCACAGCTGCTACATTTGTATGCTTTTAGAGATAATTTTTAGGTTACAGTGTTGCTACTTTAAAGATTAGTAAACCACTATTTCTGGCTGAATCTCCAAAGTACCTTCAGTTCACCAAAGGCTCACAAACCAGAAAATAAAAAGGTTTTTCTTTGTCTCTCTCTGTATGTGTGTATGTTTTTTTGTTTGTTTTGTTATCACAGTTCATTGCAATTAGGCTTGGTTTTTTGTTTGTCTTAAGATTTTGGATGTCATACATCACCACAAGAAATTCTGGACATAGTGTTCAACAAAGCAATTCTAATGCCATCTGTCCTGGACTCAAATGCAGTATTTTAATAGTGTTCCAATGTGGCCAGTTGTTAAATCATAAAGAAAAAAAAAGGTAATTACTGAAATAATGAATGCATGAATAAATAAACTTTTAAAAAGTAGGAATCTTAGGGAAAAATACTGTTCAAAGCATACAGGGAAAGAGAATCCTTAGATTTTATTAAAAAATTTAAAATACCTTTGTGCCTGCTGCTCTTGATTTAAAATCATTTATATTCATGACAAAAACTGCTTTTCTGGGATACTTCAGTGTTCTCCAGAATGTTACTCACATTGTGGAACTCATATAGAATTCATCTTAACTAAAATTTTGTCGTTAAGAGGTAGGGATATAATCTAAACCATTTGTCTAGGTTACCTTGTACTGAATGGAAAGGTAGGCATGATTTGTTCCTTTGAGACAACTCATTTCCTCTGAAATATATGGGATGGATTTTCATCTCCAAGTGACTTTTTATTTCAGCCAAATATAATAGGTGTATAAACACACTATGTGGGTAGAATGAATGCCATTTACTTTTAGCCTCAAAAATATCCCAGATTATTTTTCCAGTCTCAAGTTAGTACATTTTTACCACAACTTGCTTTAATTTAGCTGTTTTCCAATCACTCTCCAGTCTTTTTTCCTTTGTTCTGTTTGGCAGGTCTTTTAGAGCTCTAAGTTGTTTCAACCACACAGTGACTGGTAAATATAAAGAACTCTTTACCACTGGAGTTGTTGCCAGCGTGGAAATAACTCGTTGGATAACTGCCAGCTGAAAACTTTTGTTGGTCCTGAAGTAGACTATTTTCAAAAGATAGCATTTCCTTAGTGAAAAGAATAATAAGAAAAAATGGAAATATTTGATCAATTATCTTTTGGAACTCAGAAGACGAACTAAGTAGCCCAAAAGACAAAGTGGTATCTAAATGACTTCAAAATAGATTATGTCTTTTTTAGGATATGGGATTTTTTATCTCTTAGAACATACTTTCTGAAAACTGTGTTTCTGTTTCATTAGAAGCAAAGCGATTTAACTCTCACTGCTATGCAGAGAAATGGTGAACTATCAGTTAAAGGCAAGAGATACTTGAAATGTATAAAAGGACAAGAAATCAGTAAAAGAGACTTGGAAGACAAATTAGCACTTGAGTAGAAACAATATGTACGACACCAGAGAACACTGCCAGACCAGGAGGGAAAGTAGGGAACACAATGCTTACTACCAAGGCCAATATCCATAGAATTGTAGAATGCTTTGGGTTGAAGGGGACCTTATAGATCATCTAGTTGCACCACCCCTGCCATGGGCAGGGACACCTTACAATAGACCAGTTTGCTCCTATGAAATGAGGCTGAGAGACTTGGGGCTGTTGAGACACCTTCCAGAGCCTAAAGAGGGCCTGCATGAAATCTGGAGAGGGACTTTTTGCAAGGGCAGGTAGTGACAGGATAAGGGGTAATGGCTTTTAACTGAAAGAGGGTCTGTTTAGATTGGATATTAGGAAGAAATTTTGTTGTGAGGGTAGTGAGACATTGGAACAGGTTTCTCAGAGAAGTTGTGTATGCCTCCTCCCTAGAAGTGTTCAAGGCCAGAATGGAGAGGGCCAAAGGAAGTTGGACTAGATGACCTTTAAAGTCCCTTCCAAACCAAAGTATTTTATGACTGTGTAAAGACCAAGTATCTCAAGTTGTAATTGGAAAAATAATTTTTTTTTTTCCTCTCATAAGGGATAAATAGTTATAAGGTACAGTAGAAGTCTGATGATACAATATTGGCATACAACACTCAAAAGATACTGTGGAATGAATAATAATGACAAATTAAAACCAAAAATCAATTCATATAATAGAAAAAAATCTGTAAATAGAAGGAAGAAAAATGGGATGAACCTAATAATCACAAAGTAAGACAAAAACATGGTGGATGCATGTGGGATGATGTAAAATATCTGAGATGATTGGTATGATAGACATGTAAGGATGCCATGCCAAAATTTTGCAGTCTTTGGGACTGAATCACAAGCTGAGCAAAATTAGAGAATGCAATTCGAGAAAATTGTAGTAGTAATCTAATGGAAATTTCAGATAGTGAAGCAGTAAGTAAAGGGCTTGATATACAAAAATCATGATAGCCATCTTACAACCTGATAGAAGAAAATCACACTTTAGTGATGAATACAGGTATGTATTTCTTGATGTTTTAGGGATTTTATATCTGTCCCCATGAATCAGTAGTTCACTTGCTACTAAAAATGAACTTTATTTTTCAGTCTGAGTTTTGATTCATGTACTTGAATGTTTTGAATGAAGATGACTGTAATCTGACGGATTACCTAAATAGAAATACATTTTATTTTCTCTTTTACTATTATTTATGTGGTGAAATATGTTATTTTGTCATCAGTTCCAGTCCTCACAAATTCATAATTAAAAATATCTTAAATGTAGACCCACATTTTCATTCATTCTTCAAAACTCTCAGATGAAAGAGGGAAACAGGTTTCAGGAGGAGGGATTGCCATATGGAAAGCAAGTACAAGAAAAGAGCAAACATAGAATAAAACATATGGAAAAATGTCTGTATGGAATAAATTAAGTTAGCCTTATGGAAGTTATCTTTGGCCTCTCCTGACTTTTATTTATGTCTCCAACTAGCAACTGCCTACATCTTATCTTTTACCAATGCTGAGGAAAGAGAAAAAAAGGAATTAAAGTGAAATTACAGGAAAATAAACAAAATGTACCTGAATGGAGAAATTTCAATTTCTTGATGAGATAACCTTCAGATAGAACAGCATAAGAACTCTGGTTCAGAGTACGCATATGCTGCCATTTAAAATGACTGAACTTCTTGAAAACTCTTTAAAATGTATTACATACTACAGAATGATATTGTTTCCACCAGTAGCAAGTTAATTGTGCATTATGTTTTATTACTTCAAATAAAAATACTGAAAAGATAAGAAAAACATTTCATAAATTGGGTGCTAGATTGCATGATCTGGATGTTTTTGTAAAATAGAATTTCAACATCAGTTTTCTATGACTTGTTGCTAAAATAATGAGAAAACCAGGTAGTTTATTGAAAATGTTTTCCATCCAGCACCATGTTACTTCATATTTTATATATTTTATAAAATTATATAACTGGACATACAAATCAATATAGTATATTTTCTAGTAAAAATATTGTAGGTAAGCAAGCAACACAGTATATTTCAGGCAGTGTGGAGTCTGAATAATCTGGACAATTACATAGCTATTACCATTTGCTGTTTAGAAGATATTATCCTTCTGTAGTGCTACTGCACTACAAAAAAGAAAGACAAGAAAAATAAGCACCATTTACAGAACTGAAATTTTATGGCAAACAAAATTTTATATGTCAATAAGAAGATGAAAAATTATTTCCCTTTCTTCTATTTTATTTTCAAATAAGGAACAAAAGAAAAATGTAGATGGTTAGAATGGAATCCTAATGACACCGTTAACTACTGAGCTATGTTTCAGACACCTTTTCTGTGTGTGGATGAACACAGGAATTTTCAAAATATACCGTGAAAGACTGCAAGTCTATCAGGACAGGTGTGTTAAAAATCACATCTAGTTATAAGTGTTTAAATATAAGGTCTTTGCACAAGTATATGTTTAAGCTTTTATA